GGGTGCTGGGGATAGAGACTGGGTCCTCTGGAAAAGCAGCCAGTGTTCTTAACAACCGAGCCATCTCTTCAGCCCCAAATAGACAGGTCCGGAGGAGCAGTCTGTGCTATACTACCAAAGATGTTAGCTAACACTGAGGCCATTTAACACTTCCTAACTCAGTCACTGTACTAGACACATGAAATGATACCCGGATTGCCCACTGTTATGCCAGAGATCACCTCAGCCACTGAGAACAACTCCACCACAGACCCACTTCACCACAGAGCATGGCCTATTCTTTCCCAGGATTACCTACATCCAATTACTCCCTGATACAGAAGCATACAGGATAGGCCAATGCAGACCAAAGAGCAACAACCATAGCCGGTGGAGTTCTCTGAGGAATAAGTGGAGGCTGTTGTACCTGGAGAACCATTCACACTCTCCTTTTGTCTTTCTTCTCTGGGAGTTAACCTCAAAGGCCCTCTTGCAAAACCCTTAAACCCTGAGCTTCCTCTCAGAATATGCGTCCTAGGCAACCTAGTCAATGACCAGGCGATAAGATAGGTCCTTTGACCTAACTCAGCCACTGATAGCCATAAGAATCCTGTCACAGATAGTAAATAATCCAGGCACAAGGTAGCAGTCCAACTGCTAACATGCTCTCCTAAGGTGACCTGCTTGTTGTATCAGTAGGAGAGAATGTTTACTGGAATGTTACTTTAGAGTTTTTGAAAAAACACACTAAAAGGAAAATAGGAAAAGAACACAAGACTCGAGGGCAAACAGCTGTCAACATGGGGGCCAAAGACCTTTGATTGCATATACAAAGAGACTTTCAAATTCTTTGTGTGGTTTCTCAGCAGAAGACTCTGATGATGAGAACAGGGCACTGAGCCATCAGTGAGCATTCAAGATTCCCACGCAGGCAAATCTGCTACGTCCAACTCTTAGTAGAGTGATTGGGTTCTTACTGCATGGGGAGGGATGTCCGGCTTGAGCTCCCCAAATCTTGAATCCTCAGAGTCAACACCACTTATGACCTTACGAGAGCAATCTTGTTTTTTAAGATAGAGACTTTCCCTCCAGGAGACAGTATGCATCCGTCTAGCCCCCGTCGATTCCTGAATCTCCTCCAGACCTCTCTCAGGTCTACAAGAGCATCTTATCACATTAGAAGTCACGCAGTGCATGCTGGGGCTCAGAAAGGATGAGAACAACTGTATCCCAGAGAACGAATTTAGATAGCTTGTATTAGTCAGGAACAAAACAACTGAGTTTAAGAGGGTGTTTGATCAGATGAACCCTAATGTTAGGTAGTGATTTCCTGACAGTCTCCTGAGATGCAGAATTCAACAACTGGCAAGAATCCCTAGAGATGGCACAAAGTGAGTATTAAGATGATTGCTAGATAGCCAGGCAGTGGTGGTATATGCCTTTAAACCCAGCACCCAGGAGGCAGAAGCAAGCACATCTCTGTGAGTTCGAGGACAATTTGGTCTACAAAGCAAGGTCCAGGACAGTAAGGGTTGTTACACTAAGAAACCTTGTCTCTAAATCCCACCCCACCCCCCAAAAAAGGTGATTGCTAGATGCGTACCCAAACCAATGGCCCATACTAAATAAAGCCGAGATTCCAGAAGCACTGTCGTGGATGTCAGAAGCAGGGATTACCAGACTCAGAGAAGGATATTCTGGAATGTACAAATTACATACAGAAAAACAAAACAAAACAAAACACATCAGATGACTAGGTTCTATAACAATGACAAAAAAAACCATACCAAGTACCAAAGCCACATGGAATATGCTGATGAGATGCCCCCAAATTACTGAAAAGCTTACTCCTGGCTCTCAGAAGGCCAGGGTGGACAGACAAGTTGATCTACTGGTAGCAGTGAGAAGGATCATAGGACTCCAGGAAGAAGTCTGGTGGGTGCGGCTGGCATTCGGAGGGCAACAACGGTGTGTGTGTGAGATTGTGCACAGTTAGGATACAGCTTTCCTAGAGTCTGCCACTCAGTGTTTGCCACCAATAGAAATCAAAGCAAACAGCTACACAATTGATAGCAGTTAACACAATAAAGTTGCAATTGCTTGTGCAATATCCAAACTTGAGCTAATCTTTTACCCACAAGCCATGGGCAGAAGAGGCCTAGTTTCCAGGAGGCAAGATTTTGCAATACTTTGGCAAGAATGCATGAAGGTAATCCCCCCCCCCCCTTCCCCGTTCTTCCGAGAGATCTACGATGCTTAATCAGGTAGCTACACTGGGGGAAAGTGCTCAGGCACTTTGAGGACTTTGGCCAGGGTCTACAGTGATATATGGAGACCTGAAACATCATCAGATGCTCCTACTCCCTCCCCTTCTATGAAGGCATTAATAAATGGAGCCCCAACCAGGTGCTCAGAAAAGTCCGAATAAGACCACAGATCTATCCTGTGACAGATTTCTCAACTGAGATATTCTGATTTCATGCTTCATTAAGTGTGTCACAACATCTACCAGTCCTTGACCTACACAGGAAGAGTTACCATAGAGCAAACAAAGACGATTTGATACCATTCCACCCACCCCATCACTGCAACACAGTAAGTTAAGAAATCAGAAAGGTTTAGGCAGTGGGGACATGGGGAAATTAGTGGCTGCTAACAATCTCAGTAGCACTTAGGGTCCCAAATGCTATTCCCCGGTGTGGGGCCCGTGCTGCACCACAGCTTCTCCCTCCTAAAGCGTTAGTCCCCAGAGCACTCAACACATCACATCACATCACATCACAGTCTGGGACCCGGTAACCCCAACCGTGAATTTAACTCATGTTTCCTTGTAAAATGACCTAATCTTCATTAGCCATTATCTAACCGGGCAAAGCTTGGTTTCACTTCTAGACAGCTTCTGAAGGAACAATATCAAAATGATACTTTTAAGTCTCTGTTACTCTTCTCTGAGAAGGATCCGGAATACAACTCACTTCCTCCGGATATATTCGCATTTTCCCCATTTTTGTTTTTGAGCAGTCTCATTATATAGTGCAGGCTGAACTGGAACTCACAGCAATCCTTCTGCATCAGTTTCCAAATTCCTAGGATTACAGGTATGAGCAAGTATGCCTGGCTAGAAAGGCTTTCCACATTAAAACTACCGTTGAGTCTATTAATCCCCATTTCCTTTTCATATATCTTAAGTAATCCTCCGATTTTTAATGATCTTATTTTATGTGCATGAGTGTTTTGCCTGAGTCTATGTCTGTGTGAGGGTGTCAGATCACCTGGAACTGGAGTTACAAGACAGTTGTGAGCTGCCTTGTGGGTGCTGGGAATTAAACGTGGGTCCTCTGGAAGAACAGCCAATGCTCTTAACCACTGAGCCATCTCCCCAGCCCCATAATGCCCCAATTTAAAATTAAAACTATAAGTTGTTTTTCTGATCCTACACTGAAAAAGATCATCCCAACTTGGTGCCTCTCTCAGTTTCTCCAGAAAGCTTTCATTGTTCCCATAAGGCTTCTCTCTATGCATCATCAATTAGGAGCTTAGGACTTGCTTAATAAATAAATAATGAACTTGTCTTATTTAGGTGGATTTATTACTAGGTAGATTTCACACACTGACAGTGAAGCAAAATGTGTTGCAAGTTTCATTTCCTTTTGTTGATTATGCTGTTATTTAGAAAGTTGATAATCACAACCTTATATAAGATTTTTGAGGGGCTGGAGAGATGGCTCAGAGGTTAAGAGCACTGATTGTTCTTCCAGAGGTCCTGAGTTCAATTCCCAGCAACCACATGGTGGCTCACAACCATCTGTAATGAAATCTGGTGCCCTCTTCTGGCCTGCAGGAATACATGCAGACAGAATACTATAAACAAAATAAATAAATAAATCTTAAAATAAGATTTTTTAATAAAACATCTAAAGTTCCATATAAATAAAAAGTAGAAATGAATGCTATTAGTTAATTTTGATCTTAAACTATTCTCAACTATTTCTATGTATAAATATAGCTTACTGTGTAAGTAGGAAAGTAACAAATTAACCATTTTTTAAAAAGCAGTCACACCGATTTAAAAGTATACTCTGCATTAACCCCATGATGAACAAGCCAATATAGTTAAATGCGATACAGACTGATGAACAAAGCATTTTCTTCTGTTTGTTACAATTTTAAATTTTAAGAAACAAAAAGACAACTCCAGTTACATGAGATCCCAATGATAGTTATTTACAAATTATATATTAAATAAATATATAAATACACATTTAACATATATATATTAACACTAATGGTTTTATGGCTGCACACTAACACAATGAATGACTGTCGGCTGGCATGACAAAATTCCCTGAGTATATTACTAAAATTACCACAGAATCTTTTTCACAAGGAAAAAGATGCCACAGGCCCACAATCAAATGCTAACTACATTACATTAGATGAAAATTCAGTAGTACATTTAATCAAATCCTGTAGATTTAAGCAGACATGCACAAACTGATAGCCTGGTTCTCCCTCTATTATAGGCTCTGGGGTTGCATAGCTCACGCTCAGTCCCCACCTCTTCCTTCTCCGACCACAAGAGGGTCCAATATCAGCCACAAACATGAGTGAAGAGCAGATTTTACCAGCAGCCAGAAAAAAGTGCCAAAAATGTAAAAGAGGAAAAGGCTTCCTTTTTGTATTTACTGCCACTGGCCAGGCCCCGTTTCCATCAGCACGCACTTCAGATGCGATCTGTGCGGTCAGTGCAGAACGGACGGGGATCATCATGCATTTCCATAGAGACAATGGCTCCTCCTTCAGGGACAGGAACAGAGGCAGCTTTGGAGGACAGACACAGTGATGCTACCGTTTGGTCGGGGAAAGTTCTAGCGGGGACAGGGGTAGTTTTCTCTCATTCATATCAAATCTAATTATTAAACCACACTGGATCAAACTCGGGAGATTTTAATAGTCATGTAGTTTTGTTTCAGGCTTTTGAAATTCAAGTCAAAAACAGATAAAATAAAGACTGCACATACTTGGAAGAAACTGCCTCCATGAATTCATCCAAAAACTCGTCATACTCAGGACCTCTCCGTCTCCTCTGCCGCAGCCCGATGTACAATGGGTCTTGAAGCAGCTCCTAGTGTTAAGAAAAGAGTTGCCATAAAAAGAATTAGCAATGAGAAAGTCATTTACTTTTCATTAGCCTGTTTCATCATCTCTATAAGAGATAGAGTAAGAAATAAAATTTTAGCATACTGATTCATAATTAGCCTAGTCACTACTTAATGCTTCACAGAGTCCATACTGTCCAGATCCAGAATAAGAAAAAAAGTTACTAAATGTTACAACACTCTGGGTTAGTCTGGGGAAAGAAAAGTAATTAAAACATGACAGTGATGCTCATTAGAAAAGCTCCACTCAGAGTCTGGAGATGAAACTGATTACACACAGAAATAATAGTTAGTTTTAAAGATATACAACAGCTTATAAACAGAAAAATAACAGTTCTTTTCATAGATTTCTATTCCCAAAATATGAAATCTTCAAACATTTTGAGTATACTTGTTATATGACTATTGACTTCCTTAAGAGAGACTATTTTTAGCCTTGACCAGGTTTTTCTAAAGCTTTTTAAACCTTATAGTTTGCTGACTCTTAAACTGTTGAACCTGAGACAGCATTATTCTGTTCAAGTATTGGCATAAATAACCCTTAACACTTTAATAAATCAATTGTTAAATTGAAATATAATATGGTGTAAACATGCCCATTAGTAGCAAAAATTCTCAACAAATTAATATCTATGAAAAAAACATACCTAACGACATATTTTAAAGTCAAAGACTAAATTATCTTCAGATTCAGAACAATACAAGAGTTTCTGTCCTTATCCCTTTCCTTCATCACTATGCTAGAGATGCTAGTCATTACAATAAGGCAAGAAAAAGACAAGCGTGTAGACTGGGAAGGGAAGAACTAGCACTTTGAATCTGCATACACATAATTATGTAAATAGAAAAAAGAAGTAATCTACAAAACCCTTATATTAATTTAATATAGCCAGAGGATGTAAGAACAATACATAGAAACAAATGTATCTCATCATATTTGTAGTGGATGGTTGATATATACATATATAATATAGCTATAACTCTATTTTACAATCAAAACCACAAAAGGCCCAGGGGAATATTTACCAGCACATGTGTAAGACTTGAGCACTGGAAACCATAAAGCACTGCTTCTGGAAACCTTCTAAATGATTTTCTTAGGAAAAGGGAAAGATATCTCAGAGGGCAGAGTCAGGAACTCACAGGAGGGCAAAAGCAAAACCCTGGAAACAACGAGCTACAGAAACGCACTATGAGGAAACGGATCTGGGCCATACAGGGGTGGCTTCGTGTCCAGGAAGGCTTTGCTGACTGTGGACCTTCTAGAACCATAGGACTCCTAGTCCTCCCACTTTGATTCGGAATGTTGGTCATTTATTCTGTCCCTGACTCACCACTCTGAGTCTGGCGTGAGAACACATGAAAAGAGCCACAGTTAGGAAGCAAGCCCCAAGTCTCATCGAGAACTGATCTGGACGAGAGGACCCCAACTTCAGACCCATTCCCGTTACTAGGATGAAATCGTGATCGAGTCTGAGCTGGAAACCCTTGTACTGTGTAGATGATGTAGATAATTTATGATGAGAATCTGCATGGAGAAAAGTACACATGTCCTCGCATCCAGACCACAGTTCACGGGGCCATAGCATTATTAAAAATGATTTTAAGCCACTGGGTTTGGAGAGACTTTGTTACAAACAAATGCGTTCTTTCAGGTGTGGTAATGTTAAAGATGGTTTAACTATTTAGATCTTCTGAAGAAGGGTTTACTTAAAGCCAATAGAAACCACAGCCAAGTGCACACCTGCCGCCCTGGTATAATTATTAACAGCACTCTCTCTTGTTGAGAAATGCCCTTGCTTTGACCATACATCACACCTGCAATGTGCTGCTGAACACGTAGTTAGGGTTTTTTTTGCTCAATGGAAGCTAACATGTTAAATCACATAAATGTAAAATATAAAACCTAAACCCAGGACTGTTGTAAAACCCAGCTGTTCCTTAATGCATAAAAACTCTTAAAAAAAAAAAAAAACATTGGCAGGCTTCTGGGTAGCCGAGGTTAAACTGCCAATGTGCTACTAATGGCTGCCAATATTAAAATACTTTTTCCAAGTCTGGAATATATTTAGACTCCAAATATGAGATTTAGAGGAAAAAAGAAAGAAAAACACAGTTGAGGAAAAATGTGTCCCTCTGCCTTTCTCCAATTCTTTCCCACACTGACAATTGAAGGACATAAGTGAAGAAGTGTGATTGAGACGACTCAGTGGGTAAGGGCGTTTTCCACCACCCAGATGTCCCAAGTTCATTTCCAGAACTCACAGGGCAGAAGGAAAGCGCCAACTCCTACAGACTGCCCTCTCTCTCACACACACACACACATTCAAAAAAGAGAAAAATAATTATAATAGTTAATTTTAAGATTTATTAAGATATACAAAAATTAATATATACAAAATGCAATTTCAAGAGGAACCAGCCAGAGGAGAGCAGGGTTATGGGAGGACAGTGGTGGAGGGGAATAAATGAGACCAAGTTATGTCAGATACGTATGAAGACACAATGATGGAACCCACTGCTTTGTATTCTCACCTAAACAAAATGAGGAAAAGAGAGGAATTGGAAATTACTCTAGTTTATAGGCTATCACGAAAGGAAGCGACAGAATACTCTGCATTATGAAACCTTTATTCAACCTGACTTCCACATCCACATACATACATGGGCACCTACACATATGTGCTCCTCCCACACACATACATGGGCACCTACACAAATATACTTCCACACACATACATGGGCACCCACATACATGCTTACACACATACATGGGCACCTACACATATATGCTCCCACACACATGCATGGACATCTAAACACGTGTTCCCACACACATACATGAGCACCGAGATACATCACATTCATATACATATGCAAAAAATAAGAATACAACAACACTTTTAACACCAAAAGACAAATATGGAAGTTAAAAATTAAATAGCAGGCAGATATGTTCTATATACACATAGGGTTTTCATGACAGGGTTTCTCTGTAAATAAGACACATTTTAAAAAGCAGATAATGTGAAAAGTCCAAGGCAACCAGTTAACTTGACAATTCTAAGACCCACTTTCATGAAACCTTTTGTTTCTGACAACTCATGTAATCTATCAATGCAAGAAGTTCTATTGTAGATTCCAGTGATCAAGCTTCTCTATGTCCACATGATATTGATAATCTTGCAAGAAACAGTCTTGGTGGAGACTGGAGGTTAAGAGCACTGGCTGCTCTTGCAGAGGACCTGAGTCAGTTCCCAGCACCCACATTGTGGTTTACAACCATGGCTCATAACCACCTCAAACTCCAGTTCCAGGTGATCTATCAACTACTTCTAACATCATAGGCACCAGGCAAGTATGTGGTACAAACACATTCATGCAAACAAAATACTCACACAAATGAATAAAAACGTATAAATGATTTTAAAGGCCCCGCTTTAAAACTGTTCAAATGATTATATACTTATTTCAGTTTTATTTCTCCTCAGTAACACCTAAAAGTTTCAGGTACACCACAGATCTTGTGGTTTTTATTTTATCTGACTTCCTTATATCATCCCAGCTTCTTTTAAAACACATGGAAAGGGGCTGGAGAGATGGCTCAGAGGTTAAGAGCAGTGTCTTCCAGAGGTCCTGAGTTCAAGACCCAGCAACCACATGGTGGCTCACAACCATCTGTAATGAGATCTGGTGCCCTCTTTTGACCTGCAAGTGTACATGCAGACAGAACACTGTATACATATCAAATAAAATCTTTAAAAAAAAAAGAATTAAAAAATAAATAAAATAAATGGAAATTAAAATAAAATCTTAATAGCAATATACACATAGAATTTTAAAACAGTATTTTTAAGCAGGTTACCTTTGATAATTAAGTCATTTCTACTAGAATTGAAAAAGAAAATATAAGAGTAGCCAGCCACATTTTAAATCAAAATATTTCCTTGGATAGAGGTTAATTAAGCATTCAGGCATAGCAGTTAAATATAATTTTGCTTGTACATGATAAAAAAATAAGAGATGTTTAAGTTACTGATGGAATTCTTCTAAAATATTAATGTGAAATAAAAAAAAGTTAACTCCAAATCATCTACTCCAGACTCGAAACAGACTTTTAAACAGAAAGGTTACTAGCTAATTAAATTTAATAAGACCTATGGAATTATTTTTCTGCACAACATAAAGATAACAATTACAAAGAAATTATGGAATCTTGAGTTATCCATTGCTTCAAATAATAATAGCATCAATACTTATCAAAGCATTTGAGACCACTAAGGCAGATAAACCATAGATCATACTATAGACATGAGAAAAACACAAAAAAGTGATTTTCTTATAAAAGTTGAGGGCAGAGTTGAGAGAAGTGGGGTAACCTAAAAAATGAGTATGCTTTATGAAGTTCATGAAATATAATACATAGAAGTTGGCACCACTTTTTTAAAACCGCCAGCTGTTTTATACACTCAAAACACGTACCTCATTTTCTGTTCCCACATCCAAAATGACCGGTAAACACTGCTGTGGATTCACCCCTCCACAGGCTGTGTACAGGGCCAGTTTACCCACAGGGATGCCCATCCCGTTACAACCCAGGTCTCCTAAGCCTAGAATACGCTCTCCGTCAGTCACCACAATGGCCTGGAAGAAAAAAAAAGACAAGTCCATCTTTCCTGCTCTCTAGTCCTAAAGGTAATAAATAAATGCCCTGCAATGAAACACTGAGCTACAAGAAAGCATAAATTAAATATACATAAGTGAGTGTTTATTCATTGACATTAGGGAAGAAGAAATAGGTTTGATCGATATATGTTGAACATTATACAAGGTTGTATGTGTGATTAATCATATTACTGTAAAAAGAAGAAGAGGTGTGAAACAGAAATTCAAACAACCCAAATAACCTACTCTTTAATCAAGAGAACAAATGGGAAATTAGAGCTCAAACTGCAACCAGAAGCACAGGGCAGCTGTCAGACTAGCCAATGCCCCTCAGTGCAATTACAGGCGTGTCCATAACGACACTAGGTAGATAGGAAAGTCACACCTCTGCTCCCGGATGCTCTGGCCTCTGACTCCTGGAAATACCTGACACTGTACTGTTATCTCCGGAGCACATTCAGTATAGTCGGCTACACTAATTAATTGCCTGATGACCTTTCCCTAGAACTGATTAATTTTGCTTAGCTTATTTCTACTTACTCAGAATAATAATGAACCACACGTTACTCATATAGAGGACTTATTTTACAGAATTTAATATCATCATTAGAATTAAGGCACTCAATATATTCATTCTATGATTCATGACTACAACATAAGTTAAAAGAAAACCCAATTTATTAAAAAAAATCTAAAACGCTGCTGTCAAAATATCCATGGAATAGCAATGGACTTAAGATTCTATTTCTTACTTATTTTATTTTTAATGCACTTATTGCATGTGTATGGGTGTTTTGCCTGTGTGTACATCTGTGAATCACAGTCATGCTTGATGCCCATGGAGCCCAAAAAATGGCACTGAATTCCCTTGGACTGGATGTCTGTTGGTGCTGGGGATCAGCCTGGGGTCTCGAGAAGCAGTCAGTGCTTTTAAATGCTGAGCCCTCATTCCAGCCTGATGTGGGAGGTCCTTCTGTATATGTGTTGCTTTTATAGGTTAATGAATAAAGAAGCCACTTGGGCCTAAGCAGGGCAGAGTAGGTGGGGAACTAAACTGAATGTTGGGAGAAAGTAGGTGGAGTCAGGAGATGTCATGTAGTGACCGAAGGAGAAAGTAGGTGGAGTCAGGAGATGTCATGTAGTGACCGAAGGAGAAAGATGCCCATGGGAATCTGTTGGAACCTTGCCGATAGGCCACAACCTTGCAGTGATACACAGATTAATAGAGATGGGATAATTTAAGATTTAAGAGGTAGCTAGCAATACGCCTAAGCGATTGGCTAAGCAATGTTTTAATTAATACAGTTCCTGTGTGATTATTTCAGGTCTGGGCAGCTGGGAACGAAGGAGCTGTCTCCACCAACACCAGCCCCTCTATTTCTTATTTTAAAAATAAGAAATATGTGCTTTCAGCGTGGCTCTGTTTGCTCACTACTGCTATCCCAGTATCTGGAACAACATTTAGCACACCGTAAACAGCTCATAAATAGTAGAAAACTAGATAGATCCATGGGTACATGAAGTGAAATCATGATATATAAAGAACATACCACAGTACTTGTATTTCAAATTCTAAAAAAATATAAAGAAAGGAAGAAAAAAAGAAGGAAGGAAGGAAGGAAGGAAGGAAGGAAGGAAGGAAGGAAGGAAGGAAGGAAGGAAGGAAGGAGAGAAGCTCCATTCCTACCCTCAGAAAGTCCCAGTGTTTTAATGGAGCACATTCCTTTCCCTCCCCTCACTTACAGGTCATGACAGAAAACGCAAAGCTAAACAACCTTGCCCAGACAGCCACCTGGTCTGCGCTCAGCACTGCACTCTTCCCACCACACCGTAATGCAGATGCACTTTCATGCCTCTTTAGAGTTTTGTGGACTATAAAGAGAACTATTAGGAAATTGTTTTAAAAGTAAATACATTTAAAATATCTTTTGTATATTTCATATACTCTATCTTTGAAAATGTTTCCCTGTCTGATTGCAAGGAGTCACAATTTCCCCTACATGCAATGGGCCAATACATTCATGCTCTTGCAGAGAAGGTAGCCACATACCGTTCACTGCAGTTCTGATTTACAGTAATAGATATGCTATCATTGAGCACTGCGACCTTTTTAAGTTTACAGCACTCCTAAGAGTCCAAATAATTACGGTGTATATTCAATAGACACTTTTATTTAATGTGCTGCCACAGCCGGAAGCACCTGTACGCACTGCTGAACAAACACTCTCATACATGCAGTCTCAACATGAGGAACCCAGCTGGCCTGCCTATACTAAGGGATGTTTTAATGTGCATTCTATAAAGATAGCAACTTTTTCATATAAATTACCTATAATCTGAGTGATTTATATAATTTAAAACACTGAAGCTGTATAATTTGAACAGTTTCAATGTTTTTGAAAAGGTGATTTTAAATAATATACATTGCCATTCACTTGACAGCACGTCTATGTTCAGCTTTTATTCCCTAGGCTCCTCTCCCATCGAGTCCCGTTACCTAATTATGAAGGCGTATATTTATAAAATTATAAGCGTATATTGAAACATTTTTAATGTTGGAGATCTTTATATCTTAGCTTAGCGTATGCCTTATTGGAAATATTTCAACATTAAAGAGTTAACAGGGCTAAAAGTAAGCATGTACATTACCGTGAACTTTATATCTTAGCTAGTCACTTCTCTACATGTGTGTCCAAGTACACAGCACAGACCATAACTTACTCTTCAGTATGCCGTTCCAATCAAGCACTGACTTAGTGTCCTATTCCAAACCCCTTCTTAAGCTTTGAAAGGGACTCGGGATTTGAGACCCACGGACAGAGGTAGACTATTAGTGAATTCCTGTGAGATCAGCTAATGCTGCCTAAGAGCGGGATGGCAAAGTACCGATTAGAACTCCAGAACTGTTCCGAAACCACCTTGTTAATTCTTAAAATCCTCTCAAAATTTCTGGTTACAGTAAATATCAAGCCAGGGAAATGTCTCTGCAGGCAAGCACTTGCCACAGAAGCCTGAGCAGAGCTCAGAGCCCATAACCAAGGCTGTGGAATGAATGCGCCCACACTCAGATCACAAGTACACATGCATACACAACCCTCAAAAATTATTATACTTTAAATTTTATTAACTAAGTGTAAGCACAGACTGCTTTTTGGTTTCCCAGATGCCCAGACCCAAGTAATCACACAGAAATGATATTAATTACAATACTGTTTGACCTATAGTTTGGGTATATTGCTAGCTTGCTCTTACATCTTAAGTTAATCCATTTCTATTAATCTGTGTATCACCACGAGGCTGTGGTCTACTGGTAAGGTTCCAGTGTGTCCTTCTCCTTCAGCAGCTACACCTACTCCACCTACTCTATATATCTCTGTTCAGATTTCCCACCTGACTTTACTCTGTTAAGCCATTGGTCAAAACAGCTTTATTCATTAACCAATAAAAACAACACATACAGAAGGACATCCCACAGCCCTTAATGGTAAAAGGATTGATTTGACAGACTTCTTCTGCCTGCCTTGAACTTGGTGGATAATTAAACACAGAAAACACAGTTACAATAAAGAAGTTTGCTTAAAGAGATATATAAACATGTGGTTTCTTTCTGGTAAATTATAAGTCTGGTTCCACGTAGTATTCATATAAAAATTTATTGACATCTTCTATACTAAAACTCCCTGTATCTACATCCTAAGAAAATAAATAAATAAAAATACGATAAAAATGAACAATAATAATTTTAAAAAGGTAAAAAGAAATTATACACCCTATATGTTGAATAATATACGTTTATATATCTAATGATTTTACAAAGAATGAAACACTAAGAAATTAGACAGGAAAACAGTATCTAAATAGCTTTATAATAAAATTAATATACTGTAGATAAACCAGAGATATTAATTAGGTGACAATCTGACGATGCTGCTCACAGCAATTAGATTGATTGATGAGACAGAAAAAAGAGCAGACTACCTCAGTGCAGTCACTGATAACTTACCTTGACAACCTCTTCTGGCCACGCACTGAGGACTGAAGCAATATGCCCTTTGTCGTGGATACTAATAAATAGGCCCCTGGTATGGAAAAAAAAAGTTTTAATTTACTTCAAACCTGCCAAATGACCATGAACATTAGTTAAAAAAAAAAAAAAACCTTAAACCTATTAATATAGTTCCATCTTTACTACATTACTGAAAAAGTACTTCCTAAAATAATGGCTGGAAATCCTGTAAATAGGAAGCTGGGGATGCAGCTGGATTGGCAGAGTGCCTGTCTGCCACACATGAAAAAGCCCTGGGCTTGATCTCCAACACTGCACAAAAGTGTACATGGCACTGGAAGGGGGGGGGGTGGTAAGAGACAAATGGATCCCTGAAGCTCACTGGCCAGTCACCCTAGCCAAATCAGTGAGCTTTAGACTCAATGAAAGACCCTTTATAAAGGGCAAAGAGTAATTAAGGAGAATAACCACTACTGACCTCTTGACCCTGCAAGTATGTGCAGACATGTGTACATATAAGCATCCACACACCCACACAAATATACCTACAGCACACTAATATGAAGAGATGGTTCAGTAGTTAGAGCATGCACTATTCACACAGGAGACCCACATTCACTTCCCAGCACTATTGTCAGGCAACTCACAACTGCCTGTAACTCCAGCTCCAGAGGAGATGATGCCCCCTTCTGGCCTCTGAAAGCACCTGTATAAATTATATCCTTTCCTGGTTTTCTTACTGTCTCATGTGAAGTTGCTATAAATTGTAAGAAGCTCCTAATAAGTTTCATGAATTTTTAGATCTGAGTGATCCAATGAAATCAGCGGAAAGGACATCAATAAAGAACTGGGAAATTAAAATGAGCTATTTGGACCTAAGTAAGAAATTTATATTAGGCTGTATAAGATGTTCTTGGCAATACACCATTAAATTATATTTCTTTGGAGACTGTATGCTGGCCAAGATTTTCAAATAATAATGTTATTGTGAAACAGAATTATTTAAAATAAATAACAAAGATGATACTAAAATTAACAGCAATTAAATGTCAAGATTTATTACGCACAGATCCGGGTTCAGTTACTGTGGAAGAGCCATCTGGCCACCCATGATCTATTGCACTGTGCAGAGATTCATTCACAGCAAAAATGCTTCCTCTAGGAAGGAGCTCAGTAAGCCAAAGGTCTATAATGTCCTACGAGAGTCAAGCATTTTAGGAGTTATTTGTAATCCTTCCTGGAATGTTCCCATGATTAGAAATCTACAGAGATATCCAAAAGGATTTCTGCGTGTCAGTAACTCATACTGCTGGGTATACAATTTGAATATGAAACATTAATCCTACACAGAGAGGAGGGAGGGGGAGAGAGAACAGGGAGGGAAGGAGAAAGTGTGGGAAGGAAGGATAATGAAGTTATAGAAGCAAAGTTTAGATAAGAAATATGTTTATCTACTTTTTCATGAATTCAATTGCAACGGGAAACTTTGCTGTTCTGAGGATTAAACCAGAGTCTTATGCATGCTATGCAAACTCCCTACACTGAGCTGCATCCCAGCCTTAAACTCTTGCTATCTCTATTCTTACTGATCAGTTTGTTAAAAATCACTGAGTTCTGCTCAAAGATAAACAGGCCAACTGTAGATACTCACATTTTGGTATTTAGTTCATGTCAGAACTGAGGCAACTTTAAAATGAAGATCATTTTTTCATACACATAGTTCAAACTTTTTCCATAACCTCCAGCCCTGTACATATTTCATCCTCAACACAAATTTGGAAGACAAGATAATATTCTCCCTGTTGTCGGCTGATATCCCCATGGAACTGCATATCAAAATGGAATTCACTTCATAACATGCAACTTTCTATTGTCACAAGACTTATGTTTTCTTTGGTAAACAAGTTTTATATGCCGGTTCCTGAGCCAATAGAAGAGGCAGCAATTCTTCGATTTTCTATTATAATGCCTTCCTGCATTTGCTATTTCTAGAAATAATAAAGTTATACTCCACTTCCCACAAAATGTGAGCATACATTAGTAAGCCTTGAAAATTAAAGTTGAGGTGTACAACAGGTCCCCAATTGATGGAGAAAGCAGAACAGAGCACCTAGACCTAAGATGTGTTACATTTTTTGAATTTGTTACAGTAGGGAGGCAGTACACACTTACTAAGAACACTACTCTGATTTGGACCTTTGGCTGATTCCTAGACTAGTGACATATGATGTAACAACTTCTTGACAAACTGGGCAGCCATAGAACCATTGCTCCCAGTCAGCCATGGCTTCATGAGCAATACGTTACTGTGCGCTGTGTGGCTAAGCAATGATGTTAACCACTGAACCAAAGGTTAGGTACACTAAGAGCATCTTTCTCTTTCTGCATGCTGGGGACAGGCCCAAGGATCTTGACTATGCTATTAAGCCTTCAACCACTGAGCCACATCCTCAATACCATGAATGCATTTTTTTTCACTTATCACTTTAAACTTCAAATGGATTTAGCAGAACATAAACTCACTGTAACTGAGGATCATCTGTACTTAAGAAAGCTAAGTTTGGATAAAATGCAAAATCAGGAGATAAAACAGGATAAAGATGCAAAGCCAAAAGTCTGGGGCTGAAAGCATTAGAAGAAATTATTAAAGGACAAAAAAGACAAGGCCAAGGGAAAAGCATTAAAACTTAGTGTCACACAGTAAAAAAAACTGGGGTGATTAAGAGGAGTCCTCATGAATATAGGGGTCTTAGGCAGGCAAGCCAATGCATCTGAAGCCAAAGAAAATTCAAAGGAAAACTGGGCATGGTGACACACGCCCACAACCCCAGCACTTGGGAGGCAGAGACAGATAGCTAGTCATGAGTTCAAGGGGAGCCTGGGCCTGCTCTACATAGTGAAAGCTACAACATGAGACCCTGACTCAAAATCAAGATGACATCAAGAGGAAAATGTTAAGAGGGCATAATCAATACAATCCTATCTCAAAGTAAATGTTTAAAGAATTTAAAGCATATGACAAAGAATCTTTTTTTTCTGAAACACAGCCAAAACAATGCTTCATCACTACCAATTAGTTAATGCATTTATGATGTTGGATTCCCCTCCATATGCTATGAATATGTTTTATTACCATTGGTTAATAAAGAAGCTGCTTTGGCCTATGGCAGGGCAGAATATAGGTAGGTGAGAAAACTAAACTGAATGCAGGGAGAAAGAAGGCAAGAGTCAGGCAGACATCATGTAGCTACCCAAGAAGCAAGATGTGAGGAAACAAACCACGAGCCTCTTGGTAAAATATAAAATAACAGAAATGGGTTAATTTAAGATGTAAGAGCTACTAGGAATATGCCTGAGCCATTGGCCAAACAATGTTGTACTTAATATAGTTTTTGTGTGATTATTCAAGTCTGGGTGGCCGGGAAACAAAAGTGCAGTCTCTGTTTACACGTTTCCAACAAAGAAAAATTTTCTTCAAAATCACACTTAGAAAATCAGTACTGATTCACTTGGTCCTCAGACATCAGCATTTTGCAAACTATCCCCATGATGAACACAGCCCACTTCAAAATCCAGTCTAACACTTGTTGCTTTGGTCCCATCTACCTAGGCTCTTTCTTAGTCTTCGCTTAACTTTCCTAGTTGTAATCTTTCCAAGTTCCAAGTGAGATTTTAAAGACTTAATTTATGTTTAATTACATACATGTGCAAGTCTGAGCATAGATAAGTAATACACATGTGGTGCCCATGGAGGCCAGAGGTGCTGGATCCCCCTGGAGCTAGAATTCTAGGCAGTTGTTTGCCTCCTGAGTGAGTATTGAACCAAAAGCAGTACTCACTTTTAACAGCTAACCCATCTCTGCATCCTTATAGTGCTTTTAACTTTTTATTCTTTGTGTCTTTCACATCATGCATCTCAATCCCGTTCATCTCCCTGTCCTTTCGTATCTGCCCTCTGCCCTTGCAACCCAAATAAAATTTAAGAGAAAATAGAAATAAAAGAAATAGAAAAGGAAAAAGGAAAAATCTCATCATGGAAGCTGTAGTGGGACACAGCGAGTCACACAGTATACCCTTTAGTCCATATATCTTTACTTGCAAGTATTCATTGCAAAGAGTCATTGGTCTAGTTTGAGGCCTCTGGTTTCTGCTACACTATCAATGCTGGGCCCTCACTGGAACCCCTCTTGGTTATCCTGTTGTTGCCCTGTGTCATGGAGACCTGCAGCTTTGGGTCTACAGGACCATTCCCTTCATGTGCTCCAACAGATCATAGATGGGGTGGATGCTGGGGTGGGCCAACCCATAACCCTGGTCTGGGCCTGGGTAGTTGCAGGGTTAGTCAGTCTGCCAACTCTCCTTCATCCTCACCACCAGGGTGAGTGAGCTCTCCAGCATTGCCCCAGCTAGTTCGCCCCTAGCAGTGATGAGCAAGGGATGCAGCTGGCTCTCCTGATTTAACGCCCTCAGGGTCAGCTCTCCCAGACCAACACCATCAGGGCAATTGCTACTGTGTTTCCAAGGTGAGCTGCAAGGGCCACTCTCCCAAGTGCTGCAGCTGGTGAGGGGCAAGGCCAGCTCTCCTGCTTTTATGACCTCGGGGCCAGCTCTCCCAACCGCCACAGGCCGGATGGAGGGGGCAGGCATCTCTCACCCACTCCACCCCCCTTCAAAAGGGTCAGCTCCATTGTGCTGCCCAGAAAAGGTGCAGGGCCTACTTTCCCGAGTATTGCAGCTTAGATAAAGGGGAGGGTCAGCTCCCTTGCCAGCTGGGGGAAGTAGGGGCGAGGGGAGAGGGCATCTTTCCTCATCCCCTCCATCACTATAGAAAAGGGAGATGGTACCAACCATGCCACTCTACACCCTCAGGGCCAGCTCACCTGTACCCTTGTCTACAGGATCTTCTCTACTGAGGTGCCCAGGAGAGGCACAGGGTCCATTCTCTCAAGTACTGCAGCTGGTAAAGGGTTGGGTCAGGTCCCCCACCTGCCACAGGGGACAAGGGGTAAGGGGAGGAGGGCATCTTTCCTTTACCCACACCACCACATGGTAGACAAGAGGGTCGCAACCCAC